AGGAAAAAAAAAAAATTTTTTTTCTGAAGTTTTTTTTGTAACTTATGCCTTTCTATATCTGTTGTATGGCATTTACCAGGAGCAAATCTTGTCTGTCTTGTCCAGTCCTAGTTCTCATTCTGATTCTCTGAAATACTTATTTTTAGTTAAATTATAGGGGAAATGTGTCATACTGGCCATCTTGCCTTTTGGATGGCTGATTTCAATGGGTCCTCGCATACCTGTGAGAGGGGGCAGGTTCTTTGTGTACCCAAGAAAAGGGCATTCATAAATAAGTGAAGGTAGATCAAGGCAAGCTATCTTTCACCCTGACTGAGCAGGTTAAAGCCTTTTCTCTCCATATGCTTTAACTGAACACGAGAATTGCACAAACAGCTAGTTTTATCTTGTCTTTGCTTTGATTCCTTTAACATAATTTACGTCTTCCTCAGCCTAGCATTAAAGGAATACAAAGTGTCTTACCTACACTGGCTTTTAATTGCAAGTAGCCTGGCATTTAACTATCAGAATCCTAGACTTGTTCTTTGTACTGTAAAGTCTTGTCACACATGGAGTACTTCTGTTTTTAAAACCTACAATAAGATGAGACTTGTTGGGGGTTTTTTGACCCTACTTTCTCTGCAATTCAGCAGCAATGTATGTAAATAATTACTTGAATTCTTATTTCCTCTCTCTGTCCTGCTTTCTTCCCCTTCCTTACTTTACTTTCCTAATTTTTTTCCTAATTTTTTTTTCCTGGCAGCAGGTTTACAGTAATGAAATATTGTATCTTGCTTTGTAAGCTACAAAAATTCTGTGACATTTTGGTGCAGCAGATGATGGCTGTCTTAGAATGAGCATGCTAGCACTTGGAACCACAGCTTAAGCTAACCTCCTAAGAGGTGCCAAGTTACACTGAAGAGGAATCTGAGTTGCTTAGAGTATTATCAACACCCTTTGAACAAACGTCCTGAAGGGCAGGATCTTAATTTAACCTGTGCTTTTCAGTTGCTTGGCCTGTACTGATACTTAATACGTGGATGTGAGAAGTAGGTAATTCTCCCTCCATTGGAAGGCAGTCAGGCAGGACGAGATGCAGGGTAGTCTTGGTGGAATTCAGACAGCCTGGCAAAGTTAGCTCTTTTTTTTTTTTCATATGAAATGTAATCCAAAAACATAACCTGCATGTAGAAGAATGACAGGGTGTGAGCAAACTAGACTTTGAAAAATGGAAATAGGTGAGTTTTGTATTAAATGCTCTCAGTAACTATATTCTGTAAATAGAGTATTCAGATGAGTGTCTACCAATATTTTTCTTCACCAAAAGTAAAATGTACGTTTCTAATAAGAAGGGGGGGGGTGTGGGGTGTGTGCAGAAATTAAATGGGTTTGATTGATTTTCAATGAATTGCCTCTATCTGTTCTGGTACCTGTGGTTGAAACTGGATTGCTGAACAGATAGTTTTCCTTCTAGACAAGAAGTTTTGAGATTTCTGTTACTTAAGAAATGACTGGTTTTTCAAAGTTAAACCAGACTCCTAAATCCCTTAGGAGCCTGCTTGAGCATAGGCATGCTTTCTTCCCCAGTAGAAACAGAGAGGCTGGGGTGTGTGGCTAGGTGGATTCCTAGTATCCTAGCTGGACATACAGACTTTAATGCTGAGTTCGGCCTCTGTAGGGGCTTACACGTCAGGACTTTGTCAGGCAGGATAATCCTACCCCAGCTTCCTTATTTCTTGGGCAATACATCTGAACAGAGCCTGGGCCTGAGGGTCTCTATGCATTTTCCTGTGTATCTGCCTGAGGAAATGCATGTGGGATTTAGAGGCAGTATTGGTTTTCTTCTTTGGGCAACATCCCCTTCTCCACCTCTGTATGAACAAAAACTGGAGTTTTCAGTCTGTGGGTCACCAAAAGGCCCCAGGGTACTTTTTGGGGGTCTGTGGAGTTGCTCTAGAACTTAACTACCACCTCCCCTCTCCCAGGCACATTCCAATACCAACCAGGACCAGGGGAAGGAGGGGACTGGTTTGGGCAAGGAGGAACAGGATTGTCCATCTTGGCGGCGGTAAGCTAAACTCATCTAATACCTTAGATCAGTTAAGCGTACACACTGGGATATGGCAGGCATGTATGCAGCAGCTGTAAAAGACCTTTAAGGATTTCTGAAAATGGAAGGAGACCCTGAAGGAACAGGCCTCTTCTCACAACTCTGCCTTCTCTGTTATGTCCTGGCACTTTTGGGAAGTGGTCTCACAAAAGACTGGGATTAATGGTGTAGGTGGGGGGTTCCTTAGACTGTAAATAGCAGGTCTAGCTGTATGAGCTAGGTGTATATAAAGCACCCAAGCTAAGAGGGGCGGGGGTTGCTCCTCGCTGAAGAGAAGCCATGTCTGATCCCTCCCCGATGGTGACAAGCTGGCCTGCTGCATTCTTCATGGAAAAATGTCCTTCGTACCCCCTGTTCTTACAGCTTCTGTGCTTATTTTTAACGTGAAATAAACCTTTTTCTTCTTTGGACAAATGAGTCCCGGTGCTGCTTTATCTCCCAGGTAGTGGGGCGGCAGTAGCAGAACGCCTCTC